CCTCCAACTGTCAGCAATCACGAATTTACCAAACTCATCATCTTTTATGTTCTACGACTTAGTACCATTTCAGAGAAAACTCTCTGCCTGGTTTTCCCAAGGGATGAGCAGACATTTAGCACCTGGGAGAACTGCGTGTGCCCAAGACCAGCAAAGGCAGTCGCCTTTCAGCGAGCGGGCGCATCCCTCCCAGAAGAGCCCAGGACACAGGTGGCACCTCACACCCACCTGTGCCAACCGACACCTCACCACAAGAAAGCACACGGCGGTGGGAATGCCCTTCGTGACCGCACACGCTTGGCTCTCGGGGTGCGGGAAGCATCTCACCTCCGGAGGCCAGCGAGAACCCTTAGCACACGTCTCCTCGCTTTACTGGGGGGCTGAGACACGTCGGGGCTGAACTGCAGCCGGTGAAGGAGGGTGGTAAGCCGCCTGTTTGGCATGGCCCCAGAAAGCAAATGGGGCCTAATGAATCTCTGCCCCGACCCTTGTCAGTCACTTTTCCGCTGTACGTCTTCAGGAGTGTCACTTTGACGACAGTTATAACACGAATCTCTGCTGCACAGAGGTGAATAGCCACGCTCAGCTAAATGATTCAGCAGGTTGAGGCGTGCGTGGAGCCCCGGTGTAAGACTGCTGGTTCAGCTTCTTCGGTCAGTGTAACTGAATTGTCTTGCAGTCTCTTTGCAGGGCTGTAAGAATTCGTACCCAGGTAGGACCAAGCTACTGCTTAAGACTCCCAAGTAAAACAGAAGGTAGAGGACAAGAAGATGCAAATCAGCCTGCTATCCAAGCAGAGACTTTGAAACCAAGTGGCTGTTTAGCCACACCATGACATACACGGAGTTGCTGAGTAACTAGGAATTTGGTTATAGTTTTTTACATTTCATTTGCATTGGCTCTGCATTTAAATATTTTACCATAATGATAGTGGGTCATACACATATTCAGTAAAGTTAAATCAGGAATTGATTTGGTTCCGTATTCTTTCAGCTAAGACTGTAAATACCAAGGTCCTGTGTCTGCTCTGTATGAATACAAATGGCCTCAGTGGAGTTCTGCCAGTTTACAGCAGCAGAAAATCAAGGCCAGAGGATCAAAGGGTCTTTTCTGTGAGAGCAGGGATTTGTTTCCATGCCATCTTCTTCAAAAGGTTCTGAATTATCTGGTGAGTACTTTCCATACTAAAATTATTTTCTTTCAGTGGCACTGTGTGTATACAAGTATATATAATGATACCTTTGTGCATTACTAGAAATATTTTTAGAACAATAACAATGTCTGAGTCAGACAGATTTGTCTGCATCTCTTTTCATTTCTTCAATTTTTATCCTATTCTTTCACAACCATTATCTCAGCAAATAATTACTCTTCCTTTAACACCCACAAGGAGTAACTCAGCATTAATAATACCCAAACTTGCACCACAGCCAGCCACGGAAACAACCCTTCAGATTCCTGCCCCAGTGGAAGGACTACTACACTTCACATAAAACTCAAGGAGTTCCACCCCATAACTCAAGGTCCAGTAAGCCTGTGGGAAGAAGAGCTAGCATCCTTCTAGTAACACCCAAGTAAGCAACAAGTTTAACACACATAAGCTCACTGACACGGATGCGTATCTCTATTGCACTTTAGACATAAATGAAGTAATGAATACAAAGGGATTAGAGAGGTGCATCACACAACACAACCTTCGCCTCCAAGGGGTTCACCCAACATCAGAGATTTTGCAATTCAAAATCCTTGTTAGGGTAGTAGGTAGAAAATCGTATTCCCTACTGCAGCAGCTCCTCAGTCAATTCCAAGTAGCACTCAAAGTTTTCTGTTCCAGGCATGAGTTTTGCCTTTAATTCTTTTGGAAAAGAGAAAAAATGTTTAGAAAAGACCATAAATAGGAAAGGAGACCGTCCCTCACCAACCCCTGCTGAAAATGCTAAATATTAAAGAGAACACAAGCTACAAGAGGAAAAGATATCTATTATTCAGACTTCAAACCACCTCGCAAACACTGAAACAATGCCAGGTAACTAACTCCATGTCCATGTGTAAAATTTAACATGCACATAAAATATGTTCTTAAAAATGACAACCTGGTAATGGAGAAGTGGAAAATAAGCCTCCTCTGTGACAGATAATCAAATGAAAGGTACAAGCCAAAAACAACCACAGGGGCAGACCAGCAAAATGTCATGTTCAGAAAATGTAGCCTACACTGCCTAATCTCCACTGTGATATTCATCTCTCTTAATAAAGAGCAAAAATCTAACTCATGAGTGGTGTAAATGTAAGTGAATTATCCCCATTTCTCTGCGTAAGACGGATGTCACTGAAGAGTTCCAATTTTGTCGGGTATTCTGCAGCAAAGTGTTTCTTTATATCAAACAGAACCATATAATCACTATACTGAATGACACTTATGGAGCATAATAGGTACTCTGAACATTTGGTAAGAGAACCATCTGCCTAGGAGAGAAGGAACTGAATGGCTGGATGTATCCCTAATGTACAGGGACTGATACTGAAAAAAATGATACTGAAATGAATAGAAAACGCACTTATGAGATTTCAGAGCTGATTCGGCCTGAAGATCATTATGAACCCCTGGACAAGTTTTCTCACTGACTCTACTGGCAATAGGATTCCAACGGGACTGATGTATGCTTTGTATGTCTCACACTTTTCTGAAAAAACACACACAAAAAGCGTCAAACTCATCATTCCACAAACCCACAAAAGTTCACCTTTATTTGTGGTTGATTCTTTAACTGCGGGATAGCAAACTCGGTACACAGAAGTCTGTTAGGCTGAAGGTTCCTTACTTTATCTTTGCCATACATATGTATGTTAACGAGGTTATCTCCCTTATTTTTCTGTCGAGGTTTTTAGAGGCTGACCCTGCTATCTTTGTACAGCAGTTCTCAATTTCTTCCTCCTAGATTTGTTCATGGAGCATTTCCAGAACTTATTTCTTATCCCTCCCATTTATACACGTTATCTATGTCTTCCAGAAGAGATGAATTAATAATTAGATCTGCTCAGCAATTTTTACCTGAATGTTTCACTGGAAAATTCCAGTTGGATCTGAAGCACTTAATTCAAAGTATCTTGGGTTCAACAAAACACTTCATTGAATTCAAATGAATTCACATTAAAAAAAGAAAAAACAACCAAAAGATAAAAAAGATGTTTCCCAAACACCAGAATCTGCTATACAGCCAATTGCATTAAAAACTGTTTTAACTACAGCATAGGCATCCTTTTGAGTGTAGGTGTTAAAAATAAATTTCCCATTACCTTCTACCAGCAAGGTCCTAGACAGACCAGTTTTTCTATACAACATACTTACAGTTTTATATCATATCTTGTCTGAGACCACTTTCTTTTCTGCTTTTTGTTAATCTTGCTCTTAAAATATATCCCCCTAATCGAGACAAATACCATTCCTTGAAACAAACGCTATTCAGATGTCAGTGGTGCATGATTATGGTCTACAAAATTACCGATCCAGAAAATTTCCTTTGGATCATCAAAGCACGTTGCTTTGCTTTTATAAAATGCTGACAATGGAGCAGCCAACCAGCCACAGGGATTTCATCCAGAGCCTTTATAAATAACTTGTGGTTTGGTCTCTAGTCTGTCTGCTCAGGCACTCTTCCCATATTCATCATGTTAATCACCCACTTCAGAAATAACGAAGATAGGTCAAGGACAAATTGTTGGTCAATAACTTTAGCTAATGTAGTTATACCAGAAAACGACCGATAATACAATTCAGTAGTGTGATGTGAAACCAAGCCTCAATAGCAAAGCTTCTACACTAGGCTGAAAAAAATGAAACCTAAACACCTCATAGCAAGAGAACATACTACCGCCTTGTGTCAGAGGTGCACATTCTTCTCTCCCACCCATACTACCTGACCTTTATTCAAGTCCAGAGTTTGCTGTATTTCAGTGATGCTGAATATAAGTCATAACCTGGTACTTGGAATCATCTCCTGTAAAAAAATGTAAAATCTGACAGCATTTCAATGCCAATTCCTTTAATGGATGAGATCACTATTTTTTCCTCTGTGTGGAAGGCTTTTTGTAGCAGTTCATGTTTTAATCGCTAGGAGTTGCACCACATCAATTTTGATCAACTCAAAAAGTTTATTGGAAACAGGAATACTTATTTCTCTGCACAACTGAAGTAACACAAAAGCCAGAGAAAAAAAAACAATATTCCCAGATTTATTCACTCATGTAACTCTGTATATTTAAGTCTTATAATGATAGCGAAAGAGTTTATAGACTGATTTGTCAGCTGCAAAAAGCTCTGATTTGCATTACTGAAAGAACTAGGTAAAAGGCAGCTTTAGGACTAGCTTTGCACTAGTCAGGAACTGAGTCGAGACCAAATGTATGCAAGAGTAGCCACAGTGTTATTCTGAATTCCACCAGCTTGTTTTGGTCCTACAGAGCAATTACTCCAGTGTACCTCACCTGAGCCAATACAGGATTCATCCCACTCAAGGATTTTTCTACAAAAGGCAATTTATGGCTGTCACTTGAGACATCCTTCCAACTGCCTTGTACCACCTGGAAAACAACAAAGTAGCTGAGCACTGGGGCCTAAAAATATTAAAAGTCACTGATCTATACAAAAATCCCGTTGGGTTTAGGGACAAATACAGACCTCCTTAGCCAACCTGAATGCCTAAGGAAATCAGCATACAGACATAGAAAAAGCATGGAAGTACTTCTTCTCTGGCTGAAGGGCTATTATACAAGCAACTCTGGGCATGCATCATCTTCTTCTGTGTTTTCATTAGGACTAGGAGGAGGTACAGGGAGAGGCCACCTCAGGCTCCAAGGCACCTTGGTAGAACAACCAAAAAAATCTCAAGGATGTCATTTACTGGCCACAAAGATAAAAACACTAAATAAGGGTACAACAAAGAGCTAGATTTATCCCCTAAAAATGTTATTTCAACAGCACTGCACAGAATGCCTTTAACTCAGTCTTCAGCTCCTGCCGACTTGACATCTGTCCGCGTTTTCTTCTCTTCAGACAATTCTATAATGGCCTTCAGCTCAGCTTCAGAGAACTTAGGGGTCAGTGCCACATTGTCATAATCAAATTCTTCATCAAGTGAGAATGGGTAAACATCATCCCCTAGTAGCTGTAATGAGGAAAAAACAGATACATAAATAATATTGCTGCAAGTGATGATAAGGGAGCTCAAAATATAAACTTCTAATTAATATTTAATTAAACTATTTTTTCTGACTCTAGCACTCTCAGCTGATTAAGCTCTTTTTAAGTAAAAGAATAAATTCAATTATTCAATTTGACCTAATTTAAGCCATTTAATGTGCTCCATTTGTACTGTACTGTATCTGAATGAATATCATTAGCTAATTTTGCTCAAGGCAAGGAATCTAAAAACCTCCCTTGCACACATCTATTACATTCCTGCCACTTGCAGTGGCAGGGCTGAGGGGATACGGATAAGCTATGTACAGCTATGCTAAATTTCAAAGACAGATTCCATATCCTTAGAACTTGGGCTAGTATTACAAAATGCTTCAGTGTACATGCATCTGATACTAATGCAACCTGCTTCCCAGAACACAGTTTCAGCAAAGGAAATGCCTGGAATGAGCAAAATGACACATAATCAATTTTCAGACTCTAATAATTTCTTTTCACCATCTCAGAGATGTGCAATTGGCTGGTTTGGATTGCTTGCATGATGAACATAAAAGTCTTAACTGCATTTGCCAATATTTGCTTTGTTGATACAGTGTATAGCATTTCTGTATTGCTTCTCATTGAAATATCTTAGAATAAACACTCTGTCTATAAAATAAAATAATGACAACAAATAATAATTGCAGGCTGCACACTGATAAGAAACTGCAGGGAGCCATGACACAAAAGGTTTATGGTAAGCAGTTACATAAAATTAATTCCAGACCTACACAGGAGACACATCCTCGCTGCCCAAACTGTACAGGAATGCTCCCTGTCCTTTGAGAAGTTAATATAATAGTCTAGAAATTTCACCCATAACAAATAACATCTCCTCAAGGGCTCTGTGTTCCAAAGTTTTAAGTACTTCAGTACCAAATCAGCAAAACATTTAAACACATGCTTATTTTTTCAAACTTCTGATGAATCCTCAATGAAGCCAATGACTACTGATGTATTTGAAGTTAAGAATACACTTACTTGTTTTCTGAAAGCAAGGAAGAACACTCAGCATCTTATGGTCACTGCTCAGTTTAGAAGGCACAGTATCCCACATAATTTCTGGTAGTGAGTATCTTGCAAGTATCTACATCCTTCATTAATAAACTGTAATATTATCTGATTGATATTTTTTCTGGGTTTGTGTAATTTTATTAATCACTTGTATTGCTTAATGTTCTAGGGGCCTGGCTTACATTGGCGTCAATAGATGCTTGAGCATGTAAATCATCCTAGATGCAGACTTGTAGACAATGGGCACTTATAAATGAGAAAAACAAATTTTGGAGATAGAGCTGGTCTAGAAAACAGTATTCATTCTGCATGCAAAGATTATCTTGCTTATGTCCATAGATTATCCCAGGTAAACCATCATTAACTTTTATAAATAGCACGTTCAAGAAATCTTGACATGAGACAAAGCCTGCACAAAAGGTCTCTTTCCCATTAAGGCTAAGGTCAACTCCTTCACCTCCTCATCATATTCATGTCCAGTTTCATCTTTTCCACAAGTAAAGCCTCCTAAATTTCCATGCCAGTAAGGGTATCAGCAACCAGGGTTCATTACTACCTGTCTTTCCTTTGCAGAAATCCAAAACACTCTTCTAAAATACGATGCAAGGTCCAAATATGTTTCAGTTAGTTTGGTTGTAACAATATTTGTTACCACACCTATAGGCAACTAAGCTAAGAAGAGGTTAAATTACAGTAAGCCTTCATAGGGTTTCTACGAAAAGAAATGTATTCTTCCTCTGCCAACATAGTTATGGAAAGTATGTATGCATTCACTATGCCCTTGTGGTGACCTTCATGTCATTCCAGGAACATTTTATGCAGATGCAAAGAAATACTGGCAAAACTGTTGTTCAAAAAACTCAACCCCAAAATGCTAACTGAAATTAGATGCCAAAGTAGAACATACCCAACTTCACTGTTAATAATTTTTCTGTTACCCACTCATTGCACATTTGAAAAGTTTATTCACATTGCATATTTATCAGCATGCTTCATCTCTCAAATGACTACTCAAAGCACTAGGGATTCTTTTTTTGCTTCCTCTCCCAAGAGACCATTCACTTCAATCTTCCACACAGACAAGCAATCTGAAATTTTTATACTGCAAACTGCAATTTTAATCTATTTCAAAAGGAAGACATTTTGCAATAGAACACCGAATCCTCTGAGCTGATCACGTTATTATCTTGTTATTTTAGCCTAAGGAGCTGAGAGAAATATGTGAATTTCAGGTGTCTAATTTAACATCTAATTGGAATCTTTTTGAGAGCTCTCTGGGAACAGAATTTTGCTCTATTAGAAAACTGCCAGTTTGCTTAAGATTGCTCCTGTGATTTACCCTCTGAAGAAAAAATCATTTTCATTTACAGTTCCCGCCTGTCCAAACTAAAGGGGAAAAGAATGTAATATTCATATTAATAACTGAAGAATTTGCTAGAGGTTGTTTTACAAAGTAATGTTGTAAATAAACTACCTTAAAGTTGAGACTTTCAAAAGTCTATTAATAACTGACAACTCAGGTCTTTTTATTAATCTGTGTGGAGTTACAGTTAACTGAACAGTTTGTCTCTGTCCTTCTACAACATTTATTTCTGTGTAATTATGGTGGTCCATGATTCACTTGTTCAAATTATCTAAAGGATGCACACACACTCACCAATGATTTCATAGTATACTTGAGGGAAAACTTACTAGTTCAATAACAGGAAATAAAAAAAGGGGGGAAAGGCATGTATGCTATTATCTTATATAAGCTTAATATAGACTGGGGTACTTGAGAGGAAAAAAAAGTTTGTCTTGATCTTGGGGTACTGGATTGGGAATCAATAAATCTTCATCAGTTTTCCACTTCTGCTTCATCATTCTGGACAAGTCGCTCAATCTCTGCGTGTTTACTGGCCTCTGAGAAGATACAACTCTTCCATCTTCTTTCACTTAGTCAATTCTGTCCTTAAGTTCTTCCCTGTTCTTGTTGCATTTATGCATAGCACTTAGCAAAAATAAACCTCAGCTGAGGCCTATCAATAAAACCTTAAACCAAAGGAACTCAATGGAAGCTGTATTTTAGGTGATAGATGCTGCCATTCCACAGACAAAGATAAAATGATAGGCATGCTAAATACTTTTTTGAATGCTCAAACTAAAGACAAACAAAGGAGAATAGAAGGGTAGAATTCATCTTTCCTAATCCCAGCCATATAAAAATTAAGCTTCTAGATTAAGGTAGTCAATTAGCCAAAAAAGACCCAGCCTGAGAGTCAGCCTGTGGTCGGAGATATATTATATCTTAGGACAAATGCCTCCAGCAAGTGGGATGAATCGCTTTCTGGAGGTGCTTATCTCCCCCTCTTGATGGTAGAAGTACTAAATTAAGCCTAAATTTAAAGCTGAAGTTAGGTGAGCTGAACCCCACTTTGAATGCATGTTTATAGCGTGTGGATAGAACATATGCATTCAACTGCACTCATATGTATGTGGGGGGTGAAATAAGAACAAATAAAGACCCTGGGAAGCAGATATTAAGACATACTGATAATTAAAAAAACTACGATATCTTTTATGAAAGAAAATATTAAGTAGAAATAAAGGAGAGAATAAATATCTGGGTAGGGAAGGTAAATGTTCTGTGGATAACGTACTTCAACCATGGAGTGAATGCTGTTTCAGCTTTCAGTGACCTGTGGGAGGTCACATATGCTGCACTGTCGATACTGAAATCCAGAATACATTTATGTCTAAAACCAGGGAAGACAGATGAAGCAACATTGGTGGACAACACAAATAATTTGCTGTGTCATTCACTAAGCCTCTTCCCAACAGCTTTTGACAGCTTTTTCAGGGAGACATTTCAGGGAGACATTTTCAGGGAGACAAGTTGTTCTTTAACAATTAGCCAAGCTAGACACTGGGTCTTAGCAGAGCCTCTTTTTTTAAATTTTCCCTAGCAATACATTCAGAGATGCACACCTTCCCCTAAAGCCCTTAACAAATATGTCCATAGCATAGACATCTGACATCCTACATTGCACTATTAAGCTTGTTTATTTCTCATAGGGAATGGATTATCATTCTCTATGAAAACCAACTGGGCAGCCACATTCTGTTGCCCTTCCCTAACTGATTTGTTTTGATGGACAGAGAACAGTCTCATTTCAAAGCAGGGATGTCTCCAGGGAAAATCTTTTTCTCTTTCTAAACTAGTCCTGCCATAAGCAATGCAAGATTTAATTTTCAAGGCAATGACAATTTGAAGCGCTGAAGGATTTTAAAATGGACCTGTTCAGTCTTGACAGTTCTAAAAATCAGGCCACAGTTATATTATATAATGAAGGCACAAATATGTGTATATTTTAAGGGAAAGACTGCTTTCATCTTGAGTAGCCTGGCACCAACGGAACGGTTGTGCAAATTGTAAGCCTTTCTTCTTGAAAAATGCAGCAACCCTTAACCAATGTAATAATACTCAGTTTCTCTTTCATAACCCAACTTTCCCTCAAATGGAAATGAATTTTGCATGCAGTGGGATCTTCATCTATTTTTCATGAATTATGGTTTAAAGAGTCATATGCAATCCTTTATGAACACTGCAGGCTGCTACAACCCTGCTTCTTCTTTGGTTTTATACAGAAGTTATCAAATGAGAAAACTATAAAACCCCATCCTAGGGGGTTTTTTATGTGCCAATGGATATTTCTCAAGGTAAAAACCTTGAACTATGTCAATCCTTAGGGAAAAGAGTGAGTATTTTTATTCACAGAATGGTGGGTATTAAAGCTTGAAAGGTCATTTTAGAACATTTACTTTTTCCCAAAGCAGACTTGTTCCTTATAGTAAAAAGTTTATTGCAAAGAACTAAACACCATTCAGCTCAGGAAAGGAGGCACCATATGCACTGCTATAACATCAAAACTTCATTGGTCACGCGTCATTTATAAACTTGATTTAAGCCTCATGGGACATCGATAAGCATATGAAACTATCAAAACCGGCCCATTTTAGCTGGAAGCTAACTTCAGCCTCTGTTACAATGATCAGGCAGGGAAAAAAAGTGGTGAAGAATTCTCTGCAATAGAAACATCCCCAAAAGTTAATGCTCATGCTGACTATTTGGATAGGAAGCTTAATGACTTAAAATAAGCCTGTGAGCAATCCACACCTTCTGTTCCAGTTTGAAAAGCACTGAAATTCTGAGGGAAAATGGCAATTCTAAATTAAAGCATATATTGATTGTGTCTGATTAGAAGACTCAGACTCCATAATGCAAACCTCTCCACACCAGACCTAGACAATGCAGATCCTCAGCAGCACCTTGCTAATACCCAAGAGGACAAATCCGAATCCTGATCACAATATATTCTAAAAACTTTTTCTCTTTTAAATGTCATGTTAAAGGGATCATTCACTACCTCTTTGATGCAGAAGATGGTTCCTATATTCAGCCCAATGAGAACTGCAGGATGTTGTAAGATCATGAGATCATTGGAAAATAAATGGCCCATCATTCTGCGCAAGTAATGATTTCTTAAAAGGTCAGGAAGTGCAAGACTTTGCTTGATTATTCTTGAATATACCAATTAAATACTAAAAAGCCCACATACAGTTTCAAGTATTGAAGTACACATTTTGAAAATGCAGGATTATATAGTACCAGTGTGCAAGATAAAATAGTACCTTTCTATGAGTGTTTATCTCAATTCTTAACGTATTTCAGAATTCATTATTAATTTAAAAATCAACAATGTGATTTGTTAACTCGTAGCAGTTCCACATACTCCATCTATATCCCTCTGTTTTTGTGGAAATAGCAGTAGAAGCTAATAGGTTAAAAAAAAGCAGTCTAAACCCTCAATGTTTAAATAAATAAATCTGACCTCATACCTCTTGGGCTTTGCTGTCCAATGGCTGTGGAACCGACAAGGTTCTGAACTTCGGTTGAACAGGCTTATCAAAAAAGGGTGTACAATAAGTCACTGTCTGTTCCACCTCTCCTGGGAGAACTAATGACCCTGTTGAATAAAAAATAGCCAACTTTAACCTTCCATTCAATGTATAAATTAGCAAAATCCTGTGTAAAATCCTGTAGCGCTCAGACACAGGCAGAAGCTTGTTAGTCAAAGTGTGCTGTACTTATTGTTGCATAATATGTAATTTAGGTAGCTATCATTAAAAACAGATCCATGCAGTCCTGAGCTAAAATCTAGATAATAAAATATACTATACTAAGGGAAAATCAAACTTGGTGGAAGACAGACAGGAAACTGTTCTCTCTTGAGAGCACCGAATTAAAAATCTGGATGTAGACACTCCTAAACTCAGAGAACATTAGGATTAGATTAATCTCTTTTGTAAGAAAGAAGCAAGGTCCTGAGCAGATATGTCTGCAGTAGGAGTTATAAAATACCAGACTGAATCCTGGTCTTGCCATTGACTAGCTGGGCAGTCTCACTCAATCCTCCTCTGCTAGAGTTTCACCACCTGTACATTGGGCATAAAGAATCTTTGCAAGGCATCTTAACATGATTCTCCCGAAACATTAAGTAAAAATACCTGGCAGAAGTACTAACATTCCCCACTACAGTGCCAGGTGATTCTCTTGTCCAAGGATATTTCACGGATGTTTGTTCCTCACTGAGCTTTCCAAAACGAAATACTTGAGAGGACTTCCCTCTGTCTGGGACAACAACATGTAACCTTTCCGCATGGGCAGGACTTGGTCCACAGCTCAAAATGCACAGACTTTCTGAATCACTTTTCCTCTACATACTTAAGCAAAATGTTCATACTGGGAACAGTGCATTTGCTTTCTGTGACAGCTCAGAAGGATATGCCTTAGATTTAGAAATAGATTTTAACATGAATCAATCTCAGCTCTGCCATAGTGCAGATGTGTCCATCTTGTCTCAGTAATGTTTTGATGAAGGAACTTACGGGGACCATATGTCTTGCAATTTAGTTGAAGGATTATGTAAATCTATCTACTACTTTTTCTGGCTGATACACAAGGCTTTTTACAGCTTTATACTACATTTTAGTAGCTTGATTTCCTCTTTGAAATCTCAGAATAGATTTTTAAAGCCTTGTTTAAATGTTAGTTAATGGAATCAGTAACAGGGTACATAGATCCAGGGTGAAAAGGAAGAAGTGGCTATTTATCTCTACCTGCACACTTTTACTACAGTAGTGGAGTCACAGACCTCTCATTCTCCTGCAAATCTGCATTTGAAAATAATTACTTCCTAGCTAGGCCTTCATAAAAAAATCCACCATCGAATTCTTCATTTAGTTTTCTTCTGGAACTGTGCACTATTTCATAAGCCAGCAGGGCTCTGGATTTGTAAAGTAGAACGTTCTTTAAAAAAGAGCTGAATTCATTCCCTTGGGTATCTCATTCCTGGATTTTTGTCTTTTGGTTCATGATTCACATACAAGTCATTTCCAGTTTTCACCCCTGTTCCCTTCGTTGCTTGTATCTACGTCTAGTCATCCATGGCCTTTCAGTACTTGTTCTCAGTATAGCATCCGACCTTATTCTGCATCAGTTACATGAAAAAGCTTTCTGAAAAGAACAGTGCAGGCCACAGGTATATATGCTATGTCTTCACATGCTCTGCAACTGCTTTTTTCAGTCTTTCATAACTTGGGTCAAAACCATTTGTAGGACAGAAGGAAGATGTGAATGCTCATTTAAAGGCCATGGTATTTTCTGCCTTTGTTTCAAACTTGTACCCTAAATAGATACCCTCGCTGAAGGAAGGGAAGGCTGGACATCAGGAGGTTTGTATCACCTCCTGATATAAACATCAATTATTTCTGTACTAAGAGCTTCCCTCCCACCACAACAGATCAAGCTGCAGAGAGAAGATGAGGAGGAAACACTGTTATGCAGAAGTCTGGAAATGGCTCAAAAAGACAACTCTTCAAAATTAGGACAACAGAAGGAAATTTATTTTTGCTCTTAGCAAGAAGTGCTTGTCATACTCAGAATGTCAATGCCACTATTTTAAGGCTCGTTAGTAATGCAAACAATGTTTCATATTCCCTTCAATCACCCCATAAGAATGTGGTAATCAACCTTTGTTTGCCAGCAGACATGCCAGAAATGAGCTTTGTCTCTCTAGCCTGGCTGCGTGACAGCATATGAAAGTCTAATCGGTAAATGCTGCTTTCCCTGATAATGTTTAATCAAGAAACTCCTTCAGAGAGAAAAATTAGGGAGTTTTGACAGTCCTCCTTCTCAGTGGGAGCTCCCAAAGGAACTGTAGGCTATTGTAAGTTCTAGCCAGTACCTCACAGCTGGTTTAGGCTGATGCTACAGCACTAGTGGATGATGATCCTCATTAAGCTGCTAATTATGTTCTCTGTGGAGGTGATTAATTAACAGCAACAGGAAAGCCTTGGATACTGCCAACAGCACCATATATAGAGATAACTGAGCAGGCAGTGATATCAACAATCTGAGAAGAGATTTTGAAATGCACCTCTCATACTATGAAGACTCAACTTCCCGGATGATATGGCAGTGAACTCCGATGATTTTACTCAAGGTCAGCATACCTTAATGAGGGCATATTTAG